CAACTGTGAGAAACAGAAATGTCGAGGTCAAAATACGTCATCGTACTCTGTTGCAGATCAAGATGATGCCTACATAAGCAGCTTATGAGGTTTATATCCCTTTATGGAATCCATGATTAATGTGCTTTGTAAGGCAGACATTTGTCTGTATTCGGTCTGGTAGACCATGAACTCTACATGTTCACCACCTCATTACATTTGTATGTTCAATGGAGAATCTCACCTCAGTGTCTATTGATATGAAATATATCGATCTACACGTGTCGATAAATGTTTAATACTCCTCGGTAAGCCTCGGGGTTTTAAACGTTTATCGACGAGTGTTGATACATTTGATTTTAAAAGACACAAGGGTGATATTCTATTTATCATCTAACAACATTCTTCCTACTTTTTCAGTTTGAAGACAGAAATAAGCAGTGTCAAAAGTACTGCTAACAGCTTCAGTAGCAGAGCCATTAGTGATTTCATTTGATTGTGATGTGATGGTTACCAATGACGTCACAATGGTCTAGGGATCGTGATGCACTTTCATTTAAGCGATATCTACAATGTAGATATTGCTTGATCTCACCCAAGGATAGCTCCTGTGGGAGCCAGGTTTGGATGATAAAGACCATGCCTTTTCTTCCTGAAGACCAGTAGTTGGTACCTGGTATACCTCCCTGTCGCTCTGATGGAACTCAGATAATATTAATCTCTTCCACACACCACTGGAACTGCCTTAGGCAGTATACCATGTCCCATCTGGTAGTTAAGATAATATGTCAGTTGTACTGTAAAAATTTGAAAAGTGTACCATATCCTATTTGGTAGTTTAGATAATATGTCGGTACTTTCCCAACAGACGGTAACCGCTGCCACCCCCTGGGTGATGAAACAAGTTCACTTCTGATAGATACGTGCAGGTTTTGTCTCAAACAGTGGGTGTCAGTCCATTATTGTTGTACTTACCACAAGAGAGATAGAAGTCACTTTTGTTGTACTTACCACAATTTACCGGCCCACACTCAACTTCATTACTTTGTCCAGGCTGACCAGGGCAGGTAGCTCCCCCATTACTGGGAGCTGGGTTATCACAGGACCTGGTTCTGGTGACGGTGCGTCTGGCTGTAGGACCACACGTGGCAGGACAGGGAGGACTACTCCACTGTGTCCACGCACCCCAGTTTCCGTTTATTGCACCTGAAACTATTTCGGAACTAATACTTACACACTGAAGTGTATTAATCATTCGCATTATATGGTGTCAGCAATGTCTCCGATACACACGTGTAGTCGTTTATATTAAAGGTCACATAAACTAAAACCCATTTTACATCTCACAACCACAATTGCGAAATATGTCCAATTGTATATTCTCGGCATACTGAGAGGCCATTGACCCATAGTTACACATAATTACAAAGTTCGCGTATTTCTTCCACCTAGCAATGCTTGGTATATGTACACTACCGCCCAGAAGTTGATTCCCCTTACACGCATGGGCATTGCATGACGCAACCCGTGTTCAGTTTAATGTGAAAATGTAGCATGTGCGGTGAACATGAGTGTGCAAAACAAATTGATATTTGGACAACATGTAAACTATGGAATATATTTGTTCACAAATTGAAGATTGTCTTTACCAACAAGCATAAAATGATACTCACTTTCTATAACATTAAGACGTACAGATATCATACGAGGTGATATCAAAAAAGCTTTGAGCCTCACACAGTATTCCTGGTCGAATGGTACAATGCGCTACACCTGATGTACATGAATGTCTTAGCTCCTGATAGAAACATATTGCTGGCTGCAATTATTTTGTCACAACACTTCGTGGAAGAGACCTACCCTTAGTGAATTGGCAAAATGGACAAATCTGAGTACAGAGCGGTGATAAAGTTCCTTGTCCTAGAGGGTCAATCTGCCAAACAGGTGAAAGAGCGATTGACTGCAGTTTATGGAGAGTCTTCCCCATCGTCTGCAACTATCAAACGGGGTGGGTGAAGGAATTTAAGCGTGGCAGAGAGAGCTTAGAAGATGATGCCCGGTCCGGACGGCCATCAACCAGTACCAGACCTGAAAACATTGACACTGTACACAAACTAGTGATGGAGAACCGCCGTATTACTCTCCATGAGCTAGAAGAAACAACAGGCCTATCATATGGATCCATACATAATATAATTCATGGCAAACTCCACATGTCCAAAGTGTGTGCCAGATGGGTCCTGAGAATGCTTACAGATGACATGAAGCTATTAAGCGTCACCATCATTTGAGCCTTGCTAACTAGGTACAACGCCAACCCAGATGATTTTCATTTTAGAATTGTAACCAGTGATGAAACCTGGGTTTATCATTATGATCCGGAGGGCAAACAGGAGTCGATGGAATGGAAACACGCCACTTCTCCAAAGACAAAGAAGTTCAAAGCCATCAGATCCACCAAGAAGGTTATGATGACCATCTTCTGGGACAGCAAAGGAGTGATTCACATCGACTACCTGCCCTATGGCACCACAATGAATGGGGAGTATTACGCCAAGTTATTGAAGCAGGTGCGCCAATCCATCAAGGTGAAACGCCGTGGAAAAATCCGTCGTGGGATTCTGCTTCACCAGGGCAACGCACCAGTCCACACGAGCCGTGTTGCACTGACAGCTGTGCAAGAATGTGGCTACGAACTCCTCCCTCACCCACCCTATTCTCCAGACCTAGCCGCCGTTGACTTCCACCTCTTTCCCAGGCTGAAAAAACAACTCCAGTGGCGGAGATTTGAAGATGACGATGAGCTAACTGCTGCTGTAGAGGCTTGGTTAGGGGACCAGAATGTTGACGTCTACCGATCGGGCATCGGTGACTGGCGAACTAGGTGGAACAAGTGTGTGAAGTTTGGAGGGGACTATGTTGTAAAATAAAGTATTAACAATCCAATTCTTTTACTTTTTCTGTGTGGACTCAAAACTTTTTGGTATCCCCTCGTATATGATAACCTTTGAATTGAGCTGGCGAGACTCGAATCTTTTTTATTGTAACAGGTACAAAATATTTGAGTATAGAATGTTGTTTGAAGAGAGAGTGCATATGTATACATTTGCTATTTCTTAGTTTTTCATCAACCATTGCTGAAAACAAATCTTAACTCTTTGACATGAACATGAATTATGTCAAACCTCCTTGGATGCTCAAACCCCAAGCGCGTTAGGTCTTACCCAAACACCATAGAGACAATTCCACCACTAAAATACAATGAACTGCTCCAACCACTTGCCTGAGTGAGTGGATTTTCGTAAAGTCAGATATTGGTCAAATATGTAACAGCGATCAACGAGTAAGGACAATCTTTAAGAAATCCAGGTGTTAATCCTCTCTGAAAGTGTGTTTCACCACCTGGGCTTGCCTTCCATCCACATGAACACCATGACGCCAGGATGTGTTTTAGTTGGTCAACTATAAAAGTGAGTATAGTTTTACGCCGCTTTAACAACATTCAAGCAACAGGGTACACTAGAAATGGGATTCAGCTATTTTTTCGAATCGAACTCGGGCCTTTGGCGACACATGCGAACACTTAAACCAATGGGCCTCCACACCGACCCCGTAAACTATCAGAACAAACAACATAATTGAATGTCCAGATTTAAGGTTACCCTCCGCAACTTATGAAGTCTACGCTTATCAGCAAAGTGATTAAACTGCTAAGCGAAGTGAAAAGTCGTTATGTTTGAACCGTACGCTACAGTGCATCAAGCATGTTAGTTGGTAAGTAGGATATAGCGTAAACTCGCATTTGAATAGTGGAAATTGTTAAGTATTCAATAGCATATTAAGCATGCTAGAAATCTCAATTAATCGATGAAATCAAAGGTAATCGACGATCTTAGATCTAAGCAGATTACTAGCCAACGTCGATTGGCAGGATACCAATATGGAGAAGTTTATCCAAAGAGTTCAATATGTCCTGAAGTTCATACAAAAGTTATTCAGGGTGCTCACGATCATATTCATACCTCCAACAATACGTAATATCACATAAAATAACTATTTGATAAGCATTGCTTAGAATTTGACGGAGGGCCTCGTGGACACAGTTAATGCAGAACAACTTCTTTCATATACTGTTATACTGTTACAGACTTGCTTTACAACGGAATATATAAGTATCTTCTCCGAAACGTCGCTATATAATATGATAAAGAAGTTGTTACCAATACATTGTGTCTACTTTGAAATCAAAGAACCTCCAATCACGTAACTGTCTTTCAAGTTTCATAAATACATCATTCAACGCATGACCATTGACCTGACGTACTCTTTGGTTCAATAACTACGCCATCAAAAGCGAAAGTTGATGCAAAACTATAAAAGCAAACCAAATAAAGGCCACGAGGTGACACGAGCAATGCTGAAGCTAATGTACATGTCCTGTCATGTCCTACCATATCGAAAATGCAGTGCCCTATTTTCTGTTCTAGCTTAATGTTAAGGGAAAATATATGTTAGTACCAAAAAGCCTTGTCAATAATCACTCACTCATTGACTAACTGACTCACACACTCATTGACTCACTCACTCACAGACTCACTCACTCACTCACTCACTCATTGACTTACTCACTCACTTACTCAACGAGAGAAACAAAGTGATCTCGAATAAATGAGAGATGATCCATGCATTATAACTTAGTGGAGAGGAGATCATTTCAAGTGAGTCAATTGAAAACGTTTTAAAAATTGGTATAATTAAGAGACGTCATTTAAGCTTAAACAACGAGTGAAGTATTATTTCGAGATAACAGGATTTGTGTTAAGGAGGAAAATGTTGATGTCATATGCCATGTATATGAGAGAGAATACCAGTGTTTGAGTAAAGAAGGATTAACCATATTCAAACCATTACAAAGCAAGTTCTTCAGTCTTGCGACTGAAAGCTGTAACCACTATGCTACCAATAAACTTTCAGTAAAATGACGTACAAAAACAAAACCTCCGACGTCGTTGTATACATACCACAGGTAGTGGGTCCACACTCTTGAGTATCAGTTTGACTGCTTTGACCCGGACAGGAAGCTCCACCATTGCTGGGGGCTGGGTTAGTACAGGTCCTGGATCTGAAGAGGGAGCGTCTGGCTGTAGAGCCACATGTGGCAGGACAGGAGGGGCCACTCCACTGTGTCCACTGACCCCAGTTCCCGTTTACTGGTGTGTCTAAAGCCATACATGAATTTAAGCATTCAGTACCCAAAATTCATTACAATACTAACACATCAACATTCTAGTTGTATCAGCAAAGACTTGAGCAATCATATACTATAATACTAAACAAAAAAACATACTTGAGCCTTGAACTGTCAACTGGGCTGAGGTCGTCTCTCCATTAGCAGTGAAGGAATACTGCCCAGAGTCGGACACTTGTAGACCAGTGATATACAGAATCTGAGAATTGCCACTTGGAACAAGCTGATGCCTGGCGTCTGCGGTTATCGTGACACCGTCCTTTGTCCAGACACCTGTGACACCTGACTGAGTAAGGTCCACCTGGAATAACACCTGTCCACCAACGAACCGAGTCACGTCCAACAGTTGCCGTGCAAAGATAGACGTCACTGAAACAACATAATTGTGTATATTAGAAAACATATTCATCAAACCTATTTCAAATATTTGTTTTCCTGTACATATCTTAGAGGCGTCTTCCATGTCTTTGTTGGACATGAGCTGATACGAATATAATCGACGGTTCTTTAAAATAGTCAATGTATCGCATCACAAGTAGTTTTTCCTGTGTGTACATTGTCATAGCAACGTCGACACAACTGGCTGCACGGTATCGAGACCTTATGTACCTCTGCAATTCAGAATTACCAAATACAATACGTATTTAACATAAGCAGGATAGTAAATTGTATGCTGTAAAGCACAATGCAGTGTTGGCTATGCATGTGAAATGTCTTGTACCTGCGTTTATCAATCCTTATCATTATCAGGTAAATACAAATACACGGAATGATGTGGGCGATGGATACATGATCCAAGGTAGGATCCAACCACAGTAATTGTCATGTATGGAAATTAGGAACGTTGTTTGTCTATTTTCACTGAGTCATCGTCTCGATACAATCACAGAACTGGAAAGGCACAAAACAACAACCCACAAGGAATGTATAATACACACATTAAAAATGCAGCAAGCGCTTTTCTCCATATCGTTTGAATGCAAACTGTAACAACTTTTCTCTGACCTGACCTTCAACGCCTTTGCGAGTCGCATCATCAATGATAAAGGTCACTATTAATGTCTCCGCAATTCGGACACAGACATTCACGATTCTCTGTCACGTGACTGTTGTGACACCAGGTGTTTGCGAACCACGTGATCATGTCCTGACCAACTGGTAGCCCCGTCAGCGACAATTAGAAAAGCGAATCCGTGTGTTTAAATAAACATGTACTTGGTCGATTGAATGGCAGTACGTTTAATACTATACTAAACAAAAACCGTCAGGGATCATCAATATTTTTGTGGATATTTTTATGAAATTGTGTGCTACGTCTTCACTACAAAATATATCTCCCAAAATATTTAAGAATTGACTTTATTTTGTGTGACTTCACTGGAGTATGATTCTTCACAGAGTGAGGGCCAAACTGTATAAACGTCGGAGCGTGCGACGTATGTATGCTCAACATTCTTTACAGGTACATCTGTTGTAGTTTCCTTACGACAAATGTATTCAAATACTACAACGTTTTGATGAGAAAGGTCTGTTAAGAATTACCCCAACATCAAGTACAAAACATCAAAATGGCGGCCACGATAAACGTGACGGGAGTGAATGATTTCCGAAGTCGCGGTTACATGTGTTCGTCCATTCTCCTACCCAGAGTTCCATGCGACCAGCTTCGTACCTCTGCCACAGGCCAGCGCCATGTAACAAGTCGTCACAAGTTGTCTTACACAGTTCATTCAAGATATTGCATATGTTTTTCATCTGGTTCATTTTTTACAAGTCTACATTTCTACATAAATATATGTTTTAGAATGGTTAACTTTTATTGAGAAAATATCCTAAATCGTGAAAAACTATTTCCATTTGCGTAGTTATCCTATGTTTACATTGGTTGTACGGCTCCACGTGCTGTTAAACGGAGAGCTAGCGATACGTTCACTTTGATGTGAAAATATAGTATTGTTATGCAACTCACTGTCGCAGTTATACTAGCATATTTATACAATATGCAAAACAATATGTAAAGCGTCCCAAATACTTGCATTAGTCTGTTCTATTCTGATTTCTGAAAAAGCATGTTTGTTTACAGACAAGAGAAAAGTTCGGTCACGTGATATGCAAATTAGCCTGTGGGAGTAGTGTTATGCTAAGTCACCACTGCGCCGGAGTGTGGTGTTAGTCATCATTTATCAATTGGTCGGTCATTGAAATGTGATAATAAAGATGCGTCAAATTTATGCTAAGGTAAATTCATAGATTGCTGAAGACTGTAACTGTCAGACCAGACACGGATCGAGTCGATAGACTACTACAGTAGTTTTAGTGCATTTCTTCGTTTTGTTCACAAAGATGGGTTGTAGCGGGGATGTTCGTCAACGGGGATGCAGTCAAACTCTCTGATGTTTCTCAGTGCATGCTAAAACACGGAGTTCAAGATAAAAGGGTCTAAATGATCAGAAACAACGCTTCTCTATGTGTACGTGACTTGGAAATGCGGAAGCAGCCCGTCATTGTTAAGGTCATTTCAAGAATACGGTCGCGTGAAATACGAATGACGTTAAATTGTGACGTTCATACACTTATGAAGGTCAATTACGCGGTCACGTGACTGAGATCTCGTCAAATTGAAAAGCCGTACACTTTTGTTGAACATACCACAATTTACCGGCCCACGTTCAACTTCATTAATTTGACCAGGGCAGGTCAAATGGAAAAGCCGTATATCGTGCAAAATTCACATATAAAAAATATATGAAGATATGGTTCTTTGGTTCGTACCACAGGTAGCTGGACCACACTCTCGAGTTTCACTTTGACTGCTTTGACCCGGACAGGAAGCTCCACCATTGCTGGGAGCTGGGTCAGTACAGGTCCTGGATCTGGAGAGGGAGCGTCTGGCTGTAGAACCACACGTGGCAGGACAGGTGGAACCACTCCACTGTGTCCACTGACCCCAGTTCCCGTTAACTGCAGTGGCTATAATTATAATGAAATCGTCTCTTTTGGTAATCCATAACCAGCAGGATGAAATGGTAATGTGACTGTTAACCTTCTAGCGCCCCACATGCAGCTTGGTTTGTATACCCCCCAGGGAGCTGAGAATGAAAATCGAGTGCACACTGATCCATCGACCAGTATTAATGTAGCACTTTAAGCACACTTTAGGGTATGGATCTGGCGCAAATATATACACATTATTATAACTGTCTCTGGATCAACAAAGAAAACATACGTTATAGAAACAAACAGTGCTATGCTTTGTAATGTTTGTTTGTTGTTTAACGCCGTACTCAGCAATATTCCACTTATATGACGGCGGTCTGTAAATAACTGAGTATGAACCAGACAATCCAGTGATTGACATCAAGAGCATCTATCCACGCAATTGGGATCGATGACATGCATCAACCAAATCAGCGAGTCTAACCACCCGATCCCGTTTAGACAAGCATAGTCGCCTTTTACCCAAGCATGGGTCCAAACTATGCTCTATGTAAACCTATGAAGTTATCTTAATGACTCTTAAACATTTCATGACGGTTCCCGGATTTGCCATAGAAGAGTCCTAGGCAATGTGAGCCTTCCAGAACAAACAACCATGTTAAATGCAGCAATACATGCTTTGGAATAAGTGAGTGGATTTACGCCACATGGAGCAGCATCTTGGTTATTTCCTATCATCAACATCAAGTGGGAGGAGCATCCAAACTGAAAAAGCCTGATGTGTACATACCACAGGTAGTGGGTCCACACTCTTGAGTATCACTTTGACTGCTTTGACCCGGACAGGAAGCTCCACCACTGCTGGGAGCTGGGTTAGTACAGGTCCTGGATCTGTAGACGGGGCCTCTGGCTGTAGGACCACACGTGGCAGGACAGGAGGGACTACTCCACTGTGTCCACTCCCCCCAGTTCCCGTCCACTGGACCTGAAGCTATACAGGCAGGTATCCTTACACAGAGAAGTGTATGCTATACTCCTAGTTTAAAAGAGGTAAAGTTGTACGTAATATAACTGCATATATTTGCCCTTATTCATGTTCATTCACACTATAACTGTGCTCGATGTCGATTGGAGAGTCGTGAGTGACCGTCCCCTATACAACATAGAATGGGAAACAGGACAGCATGACATGAACCAAAGAGCAATAGGTTATTTTATGTCATAATCTGACAGAGTTATTGTTTGTGTCGTTGACTCTGCTACATCACCTACCTCCTGCCACTGTGAGATAGGCGGACGTGGACCGGCCCTGTATAGTGTAGGTATATCTTCCACCGTCAGATGCTGCGAGGTCAAATACGAACAGCTGGCGATATTGGCCAGTGACGGTAATCATCAGTTTGCCGTGTACAGGGGAGAGTGGGGTGCCGTCCTTGGACCACTCTCCGTCGCCTGTGACTCCAGTAACGACTTGAACGTCGAAATTGTAATTCCCGCCAGGCGCAGCCGTGATATTTTTCATGGTGAGCTGAAAAACTGGGAAACATTCGTTCGTTAGGAATGTTATTATTTATTCAACGCTTGCCATTAAATAAAATTATGATATTAATAACAGCTTCACGTGACAATGTCTACATCACTCTTGTAGTGACTCATTATAAACTGAATAATCATAAACCCATCAGAACAGACGTAATGACGTCAACGGCATGATATGATTGACCAGGAGTATTTCCGCAAACACCTGATATCGTCACTTATAAACACATGCTCATGATAAAGTCGGAATCGTGCAATGTAGCCTATTTAGCAGAGATTTCTCATCGAAAGGGTTTTGTCGCTGTTATTCACTGAACACATTCGTTCCTGAACACAAATATCGGTCACAAAAATAAAACATTTGATAAGATGTATCATAATTAAAACGACCACTCATATTATAATTTGTTTGGACAACTTCTTCAAAGGCATCATCAAAGTTGTTCTGACCTTATTTCGGCGTGAACTCCTCTCGTTTAAGAATACATTCCCCTAAGTCGCATATGGTTTGACCATCCTGCAGGCATGCAGACCGAAATCTGCTACCATATAGCTGTATACTGAATCTTTAGTTTCCATAGTGTAGCCGTTAACTTGAACAGGCGTGTTTTGCAAAGCATGCTACCACAGATATACAATTCTGTATGGTTTGGACTTAAGAAGGTCCATTCAAACATCTTAGAAACGATACAAAGAATTTCTCAGTATATGAACGTCCATACCGAAGACAGTTCTACACAGTCGACCTTCGTTCAAAGATGATCGATACTGTATTTCGCTTATATTGAATATGGACTTACAAAGCCACAATATCATGATCGCTTTATGGAAACGGTTCCAGTTCACTCCGCTTCCGACATTTGACTCTTAAATATCGGTGAACATTTATCATATAGTCGCCCTTCACGCCAAATAGAATCTGTTTCGTTAGATAATCAAGACTAGTTGTGCTTTTGCAGTGAGTGAGTGAGTGAGTGTGTGAGTGTGTGAGTGAGTGAGTGAGTGAGTGAGTGAAACTGGCATTCAACCCTGACGAACGATTGCTGTCAGCCGAGGGGCGTGTATGTACACGTACCCATGTGGTCATTGTGTGGATTAGTTGGATGTAATGGCGCTTTACGATCCGGCTGCCAAACAGGAAGTACCTTGAATCCCACCCACACAAAACTCAAGTAGCACAGGAGAAATTAAATGATATCAAACATAACAGAAACTACAAAAGATTATCGTGATAATTTTGTGCCACCGGAGACTCGTCTCGTGGAGTGATGGTAAGTCATCCTTGAGTACGCCGCCCTCGCCAATATTCGCTGAATACCAAGAACCCAAGAATACTGGTGACATACCCTATCCACGAGTGCAAACAATAACACAAGCATGGGAACTGTGACAAACTCTATCCAGGAGTACCGACCCTGAGACAACCAAGGGAACTTGTGACACACTCTATACAGGAGACGAAACACTAAGACACGCAAGGGAAATAGTGACATGCCCTTTCCATGAGTGCCAACAGTGAGACAAGCATGGGTACTGGTGATATACTCCATCCACGAGTCCAAACAATGAGACGAGGAAGGGATCTGAAACCATACTCTATCCATGAGTTCCAACAATGAGACAAGCAAGGGTACTGGTGACATACTCTATCCATGAATTCCAACAATGATACAGGCAAGGGTACTGGTGACAGTTTTTATAGGATCTTAGGGTTCCGACCCCCTACAAGAAGTTCCAAACTATTCTTTCACACATGTTCATCGCACCGTTGTGTCATAACCAGGTATACAGAAACAGACATTTTCTACAGAATGTTAACATTAGAATTTTTGGGATAAAGGTGTTGAAGGCTTTATCTGTATGTATTTCTGGGGCACCGGCTATATTGTACATCGAACCCATAAGGCAATCATACATCTTTGGAAACATAGAAAATGTAAGGGTTTAGCAAACGAGGAATTTTCCTGTTTGGGTTTAAATGTGTGTTCTCTGATGGCTAGGTTTTATGTTTAAGTCCCGATTAAGTCGATGTTTAACGTCATATCTAGTGGTAGGCCGAGATCCTCGACTAGAGATTGAGGTTTTGCTATGTCAGTCACATGTAAACTCCTTATTGTGTTATGTGTGTGTATCAAACGTGAAAATATGTTGCTATCTGGTGCTAGGCATTAAAGGCATAAGACAAGTATTGGTCAGCCTTGAGTCAGTATGCTGTGTCTGAGTAGGGTATTCATGTAGAACTGTGGGTTGGTATATCAGTGGGCTAGCGCAATACAACCTGCATTAGTCCGGACTAGTACAGTTGGACGCACGCACACTGCAAACATCCGTCTCCATATTCTTTGGGTATGAAACATCATTTGATTTCATGCATGAAGATGGTTCAGCAATGTATACAAAAAACGCAGTTAATTCATTTATGTAGATAGATCTACATTGTAAAAGATATAAATTGTGTCCTATTACAATCAAATTGACTTTTGTTATACGAGGGCCTTTCAATGTATAACCAGCCTAAGTTATTTATCAGATCTTAACGGTTGCATGTTTGTCACGTGCTGTGCACCAATGTATGTCACGTGCATAGACAAAGTTTCACTGAGGAAATTGTATTTGAAGTCACACACGTGATCTATAAAGATGGCAAGGGTAGATTCTGCCAAATTTTCGTCAAAGGTTAGATACAGGGCTGTTATTAGGTACCTCTACTTAAAAGGGAAAGCGGGAAAGGAGGTATATGATGAATTGTCAGATGTTTATGGTGACAGTGCACCTTGGTATGCACAGGTCAAATTCTGGGTTGCAGAATTTAGGGGTCGGGTGAACCTGGAAGATGAGCAACGCCCTGGCAACTGTAGAGGTGACCAATGATCAAACCAGTGAAGCTGTGAGACAACTGGTTGTCAAAGACAGGCGAATGAAGGTGTCAGAAATGGCCAATGCCTTGGACATTTCAAAGGGAAGTGTCCATACCACTTTGCATGATCGTCTGGGTATGAGGAAGCTGTCTGGGTCCCGAAATGTCTGAGTGATGATCAGAAGGCTGTACGTGCGTCAATGTGTTTGGCACTTTTGACGCAATGCAGTCAGGGTGCAGGCAACTTTATGGGGAGAATTGTTACTGGTGATGAAACCTGGGTACACCACTATGACTCAGAAACCAATGAACAGAGTAAGCAGTGGGCTGGCATTGCTTCACTCCGTCCCAAAAAGTTGAAGACTCAACCATCGGCTGGCAAAGTCATGGCAACCATCTTTTTTCGGATACCAAAGGGGTCTTGCTCATTGACTACTTGCCACGTGGCCAGACTATTACTGGAGAGTACTACTCCGATCTCCTGGACCGTTTGCGGACTGCTATTCTTGCCAAACGTCGTGGAAAGATCACAAAAAGTGGGCTGCTCCAACATGATAATGCCAGAGTGCACACCTGTCGACTTGCGGTTGCCGCAGTGAAGCGGAACGGGTTCAAAGTATTACTTACTTACTTACTTTGGAGATTTAACGTGCGCTTTCCGACTGATGCGTATTTCGCACACGGGCCCGGCCAGGCCATTTAATGTGTTTCCGAAAGGGGCGAAAGTGGTGTGTGCAACCCAAGAGGGGGCTTTAGGGGTTGCTTATATAGAATTTGGGAATTTTGAGATTTGGAATAGATGCCGATGGGGTAGGGGAGGAGAACTAAGGGAGCTGGGTATGGTGGATGTTTGTGTGTTTATGTAATTTTGATTTGGTGGATTATAGTGTTTTTAGATGCGTTTTATTAGTTCCGTTTTGATTAAGAATACGCCTAAGGCCTTGAAGTTTTCTAGTTTATTTTGTGGGTTTAGTATTGCTTCTAGAGTGAGAGCCTTGTTTAGATTGAGGGTGGTTTGTAATGCGGTTCGATGTGTTAGGTAGTGTGTGCAGTAGATGAGTGCGTGTTCTGGGGTTTCTAGTTGTTTGCAGTGTGGGCAGTTACCTGTAGTATGTTTTTTAATTTTTTTTAGGTGGTTATTTAGGTTGGTGTGTCCTGTTTGGAGTTTAGTGATTACTCTGTCGAATTTTTTTGATGGATGGAGAATTTTTGGTTTGGTTAGTGGTTTGCTGAGTACTTTTTTGATTTGGCTATTTTAGTTTAGATATAGGTTATGCCATTTTTTGGTGATTTTTTGCTTATTTACACTTTTAATTCCTGATTTTGAGATGGGTAAGTTTAAGCGTATTTCTGGGATTTTGAGGGATAGTTTAGCTGCCTTATCGGCGTTTTCATTACCGTATATTCCTACGTGGGCGGGTATCCACAAGAGGGTTATTTGTTTGCCTGCCTGAGTTAGGTCGTTGGAGCTTTTAAGTATTTGATTTATTAATTTAGGTCGGTTTTTGGTATTTTTGTTTTGGAGGGCTTGCAGTCAACTTAGGGAGTCGGTAAGTATTAGGATTTTATTGTGGTTTTTGGATTCTTGACTATGGAGGGCTGAGGCCATGCCCATTAGTTCTGCCGTGAATATTGATTGGTTGTTTGGGAGTCGGAAGGATTGTGTAGTTTTAGTTGGTTGTGTGGTATGGACTCCGAAACCTGTGTGTTTGGAGGTCGGATCTGAAGATCCGTCCGTGTAAATGTGACACCAATTTGGCCAATTTTCGTGTATGTATGGTAGTGTGGTGGTTTTAGCTATGTTTGGGTCGGTTTGTTTATTCATTTGGCTAGCTAGTGTTGTGTCTATTTTGGGTATTTTAAGTTTAGGGGTGAAGATATTTGATTGTTTGCAGTTTAGTTTAAGATTTTTAATTTGGTGTTCATTTAGGTAGTTTGTTATTCTTTGGGATATTGGGGTAAGTAAGGAGTGTTTACGAGCTAGAGCTTGGTTTTTGGGGCTGATATTTTGGTTTATTAAGTTTTGGATCAGAGGGTTTGATTGGGATGCGGCCCAGAAATTTAAGCTTAACTGTTCCCTGCGTAGACTTAGTGGCATTTCTTCTGTTAAGGCCTGAAGTGAAGTGTAGGAGGTGCCATG